AGGTTAGGTACTCCTTTATTGTAAATCACAAATGCATTTTGGGCTTATATGAGCCCCTCTTCAGTGTAAATGCTACACATATAAAGCATAAAAAGCAAAAAATTAATTAATTTACAAATTTTTCACGCGAAGATGATTTTTACAGACAATATACATTCAATACACATTCATGTGCTTTTTTGGATTATATAAAATATCATTGTGAGAGTCATACAATTAGAAAAGCATTACTCTGTCTTCTGAGGTATGTAAAAGGATTTATTTATTGTCTGTAAAAATCATCTTCAAAAAAGCACTGAAGAGGGGCTCATATAAGCCCGAAATGCATTTGTGATTTACAATAAAGGAGTACCTAACCTTATAGCTGAGAGAAAGTCTACCGTTTTTACTAATTCAGATTAAAGAGACATATACTAAATAAATCTATATATTTATTTTTTATTTACATTTTCATTTCAGTACATATTCTAGAAAAAATTATAATTTACAGTAATGGATATACAGTTTTGTAGCATTTTATTTTGTCATATTAAATACTTAATTAATACATATTTATTACTGTATTTTTGTTTTGATACATATATATTTTATGTATACTACATAACTATGAATGTAAGTATTGAAGGAGAAAAGAAAGATTCAAATGAAAAATATATGCATGTTTCTCCTTTTCAACTGATCTAATTGTGAATATATTTAATGTAAACCAAGTTTATTGCCCCTAATTTATCAACGACATATTGTAAAATAACATAATTAGCACAATATGTATCAAGAATATGTATTTCAAAAAAAAAACAAAAAAAAAAACAAAAAACTTGTCTGTATTTATTTGTACCAATCATATTAAATTCCTTCCTATGTGTAAACTGCACTGTAAACATATTTCAAAGCAAATTACATGTTGTATTTATTAATTTTTTAACATAAAATTATTATACAAAGCAAAATAAAACTAATCATTTATCCTCCTTCTGTAACCTGTTACCAGTGCATTATGTGTAAAAAATACAGAGGGTGACAAATGTTTTTGAACTATTGCAAAGTTCTTCTTCAGGTCAAATAGCTTTGGAATGCCTCAGAATGGAATGTAAAGATTTAAAATGGCATTCAATTGAATGTCAAAATGGCATTCAATTGAATGCCATTTCGACAAAATCTGTTTCGCCGGACATGCACGATCATGTGCTGATGGATATAATTATGGGTCGGCATCTATGAGGGCCTGCCAGACTAGCAACAGACTAAGCTCCTCCTTCCGGTTGATGCAGGTGATCTCTCGGCACCACCTTTGTAAATGACTATGTCTTCTAACCATTTAAGATGGTCCTGGCGAGGCATGGTGACGATAATTTCAGCCTTGTCAAACTCTGCCTTGATGTCCAGATCAGATGCATATGTGGCAAGGGCAGTAGTGTGCTGTCCATGTTGAATTGGTGTCCTCTTACACAGGTACTTAAGAAGCATTTGGTAAAACCAATATATAACAAATCCTTGCCCCATCTATTGTCCTTAAGCGGGATGGAGTATACACCAGGAAGTCTGGTATGATCCGGAGGGTCTTTTTCATTTTGGAGGATGTCAAAGACATTCAACGGACATTCAACATGGACGGCACAGTATGCCCTTGCCGCATATGCATCTGATCCGGACATCAAGGCAGAGTTTGACAAGGCTGAAATTGTTGTCACCATGCCCCGCCAGGACCATCTTAAATGGCTAGAAGACAGTCATTTACAAAGCTGGTGCCGAGAGATCACCTGAATCAACCAGAAGGAGGAGCTTAGTCTGTCGCTAGTCTGGCAGGCCCTCATAGATGCCAACCCATAATTAGATCCATCAGCACATGATCGTGCATGCCCGGCAAAACGGATTTTGTCGAAATGGCATTCAATTTCATTTTAAATCTTTACATTCCACTCTGAGGCATTCCAAAGCTATTTGACCTGAAGAAGAACTTTGCAATAGTTCGAAAATGTTTGTTACAAAGTGTATTTTTTACATGTAATGCACCAGTAACAGGTTACAGAAATAAGGATTTTTACTCCGTTGTTGAGGCAAAGATGAACTCTGTAACTAATCATTTAAAGAAAGAAAACAAAAAATAGTTAGTAAAATAAAGATAAAAAATCCAGAACAAATTGCATTTACAATTATAAAAAGACTAAATACAAGAATAAATTTTTGAGGTCTGTTGACTGTCCATTCACAATCATTGGAGTACAATCAGTATTAGCAGAGTTGGTCTTCCTTTAGTCCCACCCAAACACATGCAAATTATTTATAATGAGCAATTATTTATTGTGTTGTCACAGTGCCAGGGTGCAATTTTCAATCAATTTAATTTAAAATATATGCTGAATTTAGTAGTGTCTTGCCTCTATGCATCATACTTTTCCTGTTAACAATAGTCATGCTGGATCTAGCTAACTCCATTCTGGAAAAAACTTTTGAATTGAAATAACATGATATCTGGCCAAAACTGGAAGTTTGTATATAGTTACTCAGTGCCTCCTGCCACTAAGCTTTCTGTATCTAGTTTCAACTTTCATCTATCTAACTCCATTTTCAAGATTAAATCTTGAAAATGGAGTTAGATGCACAGACATACAGATGGACACTAGTGGAAATTTGTAGGTCTGCAATTTGAAAATTGCAGCCCTATAAAAGTTCCTATGACATCAGATATTTTAAAATTTTCTTTGTAAAATAAAAATTAAAAAGTTTAATCTTTTTTATTTTTATTTTACAAAGAACTTTTAAAAATATGATTTTACAGGCATTTTTAAACAATGTGTATCGGTGTATGAGGAAGTAGCCGAAAGGAAGGTCAATTCCACTAATGTTGATTGTGTTCCATTGGTAAACAGGCAGTAAAAAAATTATTTACTAAACATTTACCTTAACAAAATAATAGAGATATGGTAAACTAATTTTATAGTATAGATTCAATGTAAAGCAAAATGATGATGATAAAAGCTATATTTCATTCCCTTACATTAAAAAAGTTTTTGGTAATTTGAAAAAGGATCTTAAAAGCAACAGTAGTTTTAGCACCTAAGTTTAATAAAAAATTAAAGCAATTATATAAATGTTGCTAAAAATAATGATCTTTTGCCTGATATAGGTTTCATTTTATGTGCATTCTGATGATGTGGGCCAATCTCTCTTCCATCCTTCCTTGTAAGTTTCAGGATAACCAAAGAGTCCTTTCTAGAATCCAGAAATTTAACAGAGGGTAGATTCCTGACTCCTTTTAACACTTTTGAATTTCTTTCTAACGTTTACAACAAAGACATGATGTACAAATGATTCTTTTTTAAATTTCATTATTATATGTCACTTTCAGTTCTTAACTGAACTGAATAAAGAAGTAAAAATGAAAACATTTCTCACATTCAACACGTTATGAAAAATTTTATCACCATATATTGAATATATTGCTTATTAAAAAATTACTTTCAATTATTAACATTCTAAAGAAAATGTATTATTATTATATTAAAGTAAGCAAATTAAGTGAAATAAATTGAATTTTATTTAAGTGCATTCTTGCTAACAAAAAAAAAAAAATCAGATTATTTTTTAAAAACATGACATGTATGTAAATTAATGTGCTATACATTTTAATGTAAATATAAGTATCAAATAGAGTATAAAATTTTTTTTTTAAATAATTGTATGTCAATAGTCTTTTTTGACTTCTTTACATATAACCCTACTAATTCAAACAATCTCATAATTAGATAATATGAGATAATAATTAACATAAATTAGTAATAAAGCACTGTACATTTTTAAATACACTTAATTAAAAAAAAAACATTTTACCGTTTTGAATATAAAGCTTCTTTTTCAACTACTGGAGTAAATTCATTTTTTGGTGGTTCAGTGTTATCATCATCCTCAGCACTTTCTGTGGACAAAATAAGATATGTTACAATGAGATTATGATCTTTGAAATGTTCTGATTTTATCAAAGCTTATAAATTTAATAAATAAAACTCAATTTTTAAACTTTTAAAAAATTGATATATCTTAACATGATATTCATTTAACAAACAAAAAGTTCTCAACAAAATATAATTTGTGATAAACCTTATTGTTTTTCAATGTTTTGTTCATAAAATTATAGTCATCATCATCAGGTCAATCTTAAACTTAATATTTTCAAATATTTTAACAGCATACATTTGGAACTTTTAAATGCTAAGTACATTTAAAAATTCCAAATGCATTTTATTGAAAATATATTTTTTTGATCAGTTAGTATAAAATTATGCCACAGAATACTCAATAATAAATTATTCTTTAATTTTTATTTATTTTCAATAAACTTTAAATAACAATTTACATAAAAGTTATAAGTTACCATTTATAATTTTTATGCAAATAAAGTAAAAGTAATAATCAAATTATTCAAAGTTTTGTCAAAGAAACTAGTTTTGAAACAATATTTATTATTATATAAAATAAAACATTAAAAAAGAGAGATAAGTTTGATCAGCACCAAATCATTCATCAGAAATGCAAATTTCAATAAAGTCAGTACACCATCTTTCTTTGACTCTTAGATACACTGTAAAACAATATAGTAGAACCTGGTTAACTCAAATAAGTTGGGGAAAAAATTTGGATTTTGAGTTAAGGAGGTTCAGCTAAAAATCAAGATTTTTGTGCACCGGTTTATTTGTAGTCCATAATAAAATATATATTATTTCTACAGATCTTATTATATAGAATTGTTCTGTCAATGTAAATCTCTTAGTGTTGTCCAGATACTCAAAAATGCTTAATTGATTAAGTAAGCTACTGAGAAGTACAGTACTTTCCAGAATGGTTAATCTGTTCACTTCCAAGTGTTTAATAAGAATTTTTTTAAACCACAATATTTCATACAGGGTTCCTACTTAAATAATGAAAGTTGTAAATCCCATAACTTTCCCTGACCCTCACATCCCTTACAGTATGGACCATTAACAAAATAAAACAGCATTTGACTTACTATGCAAATACATTATTGCTTCTCCAATTTTTTAATTAGTTATTTTTTCTAATTAGCAGTTACATATTTTTTATAATTAACATGCATAGCTACATGAAAATTGCAGAACTGATATCGGTGACAAAGATATGCATATGATTAATTTGGATTATGTATTGGGTCATGTGGTACTCAGTTTTGGACCATAAAAACCAGCAGCTGGCTTGGTTCTGTAAATGCCATTAATGACTGTTTGCAGCAGCTGAACTTTCAAAGAAGCATAGAAAATGTCTCAGAGAGGACAGTAAGCTGATTACTACCAGTTAACAGCTGGGAAATGAGACTGTATCCTGAAGCTGCATGACCTGTTTGTTGATGCATGCAGTTGCACATATGTTGGGCATGACATGAGTACCATCCTGCAACGTATGACATGATGTATCACATTGCTGAACATCTGCAAACACGCTGAAGAGGGAGTGAATTGCACCAGCATATGATAGAGTGCACAGACTGGCAGATTCACTGAATAGCCTGTCAGGATCCGTTCGCACAGACTGGCAGATTCACTGAATAGCCTGTCAGGATCCGTTCGCAAGGCACAAGATATCTGAAGATGCCTGTCTCCATCAATGGGTGCATCTGTGTCCACCCAAACCATTCATAACAGGTTGTGTAAAGTCAGGCTGCACGCATAGCAACCAGCAACCATGGTTCCATTAACCGCTCCACACAGCATGGAAACCTGGTCTGGTGGTGTTATCACAACTGGATTACTGAATGGCATCGGGTACTGTTTATAAATAAATCCCATTTCTGTTTGTGAAGGAATAACAGCTGTGGACAAGTGTGATGGTATCCTGGGGAATGCTATGTACTGATACCAGCCCTTTTTGCTGAGCATAATACTGGCCCACACCAGGCATCAGGATTTGGGAAGGCATCATGTTTGATCAGTGAACATCCTTGGTGCACATTTCTGGTATTCTGACTGTGGACCAATATCTCACACAAATTGTGAGGCCCATAGTGCAGGCCACACTAAACACAATGTTCCAGCAAGACAATGCCTGACAGCACATCACACATCTCACCAGCCTGAAAAGAATTCACATGCTTTCCCTGGCTGGCAGCCTTGCTGGATCTCTCCCCCATTGAACACCTGTGGAACTTTGTCTGATTTACGATGCACTGGGAACCACTGTCACATATAGATGACATGCGCATTGTAGTGGACAGCTTGGCAAGGGATTCCTCAGGCAATCATTAATTACCATGTTAATTGCTATATGGCAAGGCATACTGCCTTGCCGTAGAGCAGCCTGAGGGAGCCATATTTGTTACCAAATAAACAGGTGTCTGTTGCATATCTTTGTTTGTTCTATTAATCATTTTGAATATGTCTCTACTAGTCCTGAAGTGTGCATGTAGCTTTGTACATTCCTTCATGGTGTTGCAATTTCACTTTTCATGCTTTTTTGGGTGAGAAATTGTCAATTAGTTTACTGTTGACAATTTCTCAAAATTCAAAATTATTTTCACATTAGAAAAAGTAGAAACTAGTCCTCTTGAATTAATTTTTACATCAATAAAGAAGAATCTAAATTTTCTTTCTTTTTGCAAATTGTATAAACTGTATTAATTCTTCCTTAAAAATAGTATCATCAATATATATTTATTAAATTCATAATATAGTTATTACACTCTTTTGGTTATATTTTCTTTAAGTTTGCTATGCTAGTGAATCTTGTGCCTGTGCCACACCAGCAATCTAGTGTCCCCAGATATGGCTCCAAATTTAAATTTTGATATTTTTACTACAGTGATGAGTTGGGACCCCAGGTATTTGCCGCTTTTGACCATAGGATAATGAACCACTGTGCACCATATCTATTCACAATGATTACTGTTTGGACTGTAAATGCAAGATGCCATCAACTGTAAGATATATTTCTAGTTCAATTAAGTAAAAATGGGTTAAAAAATTCATCTTAAAATTAAGGATAAATAATAATAAATTATGTTCAAAATAAATCTGATTGCACTATAATTCCAAATTGGATTAGTAACATTCTCACACATGAAACTAACATGTTAGAAATCAAATAATTTGAATGCAGAATTTTTATATGAGCCGTTGATTTTGAAAGTAGGGCAAGTCCATTTTGTGAAAAAATAGTTAAGGCTAATTTTTATTATAAATTAACATAAAATGTGTTTTTAATCAATTCACAATAAATATCTTTTAATATCAGTATAAATTTGTTACTACCGTGTTTCCCCGAAAATAAGACAGTGTCTTATATTAATTTTTGCTCTGAAAAATGCGCTAGGTCTTATTTTCAGGGAATGTCTTATTTTTTCCAGGAAGAAGAATTCACATTTATTATTGAACAAAAAANATAAATCAAAAGTAGTTACAAAATAATTTAGGGATTTTTCAATTAATTTATGAAATAATCCATTAGAATTACTCATAGAAATTAAATTGGAATGAAAGAAAGAGAAATGGAAAAAAGGAGAGAGTAGGATTATTTAAATAACTTGAAAAAGTCATTTTGAGTGCCATCATTGTTTACTAGAGTAAATTTAAAACAACAAATTTGATTATGGCTATAACTACAAATCAATTTTTATTTTCAATTAGTAGAATATTGCAAATTCCAATTAGACTCTGAAATAGAGCAACATTAGATCTACAGAAAATCAATAGAGGGGTCTTGAATATATTGGGTTGAACCAAAAGTTTGTTCAGGTATTTACATAATCGCTCGTCTGTGGTTATACAGATGAGCGATTATGTAAATACCCGAACAAATCGCCTCATAATAGCCTCTGTTGTGCTTATCAAGTTTTAATTTGTTTAGGTTGACATTACGAATATCTGCATATTTATTACGTAAGTTTAATTACAGCTATTTTTTAAAATTTTGTTAACTTTTAAGAAAAAAAAACATTAAAATGGAAGAAGGTGCATTTTCAACATCTGATGCTCTATTATTTCCGAAAAGGAAAAAATGCAACAAAAACTCAAAAAAAGATGTGTGCTGTATATGGGGAGGATGCAGTTACTGATCGAACATGCCAGAAATGGTTTTCAAAATTCAGGGAGGGAGATTTTTCTCTCGAAGATGCACCTCGGTCAGGACGACCTTCAACCATAGAAAATGAGTCCGTAATGGCTTTAATTCAAAATGATCGGCATAAAACAACACGAGAGATAGCCAACATCTTAAAAATATCCCATCCAAGGCTAGCCAAATGTCTGACAACATTTGGCTAGCCTTGGATACATTTCCCATTATGATGTTTGGGTTCCCCATAAGTTAAGTGAATGAAACCTTATTGAGCATGTTTCTGTATGTGATTCACTTTTAAAACACAATGATGATGATCCCTTTTTAAAGCGATTAAAAACAGGTGATGAAAAATGGATTGTTTACAACAATATTCAACACGAGATCTTGGAGTAAGCCAGGTGATCCTCCAGTGCCACAACCTAAAGCTGGTTTGCATCCCAGAAAAGTAATGATTTCAGTTTGGTGGGACTGGAAAGGGGTTCTTTATTACAAGCTTTTACCCAACAACCAAACAATTAATTCCAATAAATATTGTCTCCAACTGGATGAACTAAAGGCTGCAGTGCATCAAAAACGTCCAGAACTTGCAAATAGACGGAGAGTGGTATTCCATCATGATAATGCAAGACCGTACATATCGTTAAACGTGTGCCAAAAACTTCTAGACTTTAACTGGGATGTTTTGAGTCACCCTGCATATTCTCCAGATATTGCTCCCTCAGACTATCATCTTTTTCATTCATTGCAGAATAATTTAAATGGCATAGAATTTCAATCTCTAGAAGGTATCAAAAATCACATTGACAATTTCTTCAATCAGAAACCCACCCAATTCTACACAGACAGAATTATGAAACTACCCGTCAGGTGGCATAAGGTTATTGAACAGAAGGGTGAATACATTGTGGATTAAACGTTTTTATTTATTTCAAAATAGTATACAGTCGACCCCCTTATAACGTGGATTCCTATAACGGAAATTCCTATAACACAGTGAAAAAATTGCAGAAGTATTCGTATAAAGGAACTCATAAAACGTCACCGACTCGTGTCGTGACAAGATTGGTCAAATCTGGACCAATAGTGGATGAGCAGCCGAACTACTTTCTGCCGTCCAGCGCCATGCTACAGAAAGTTTAGGTGGGTAAATTGAGTTTGCTATCGTCTGTACAGTATTATATATAAATTAGGTACTGTACATATAATTATATATTAACTTAATTTATTGTAACTTTATTATAATTATATATATAATTTCTGCCGTCCAGTGCCACGCTACGGAAAGTTTAGGCAAGTATGTTGAGTTTACTATCGTCNTGTTATTATAATTATATTCCATTTAAAGAAAATCAACATTTTCAACAAATCATTGCTTTTGAAAGTGAGGTAAGTCCATTGGTGCATTCCAAAACCGTGATTTTTTTCATCTAACATGGATAACCATTATTGCATATTAAATTTATATGAAATAAGACCAAACAAATATAAAATAAGTCTATTACTGTTTACAAGTATTTTTAAACCCATTCAAATGTAAACTATTAAATATCTAGCAACAATGTAACATGGACTTGCCCCACTTTCAAAATCAACAGCTCATATGCTGTTTTAATATATCATTTTATATAAATTAATGATTTATGCAATGAAGAAATTCAAAAATTCCAAATTTTCAATAATTCAATAATTTTCAATAAATTGAGTTTTATATTAAAAATGCTCTTTAACTGAATAAATACTTACCTTCATTGTCTTTAATCTCTTTTCTCTCTTGATTTTGAGTTACAGCAGAATTGAAACTAAATGTTTCAGTTGAAAGCTTGGGTTTATTTGTATTAATTGAAAAGACAGTGTTGATGCTAGTAGTAGTAGTAGTAGTAGTAGTAGTAGTAGTAGCAGCTCCTGCAGAAGTGGAAGATGGTATATTTCCAAAGGAAACTGTTGGTGCCTGTAAGCCAAATTTAAATGATGGAGAGCCTGTCATAGATGAACTTGATGAATTTAATGCACCAAATGTGATTTTAGTACTAGTAGTACTTGTAGTTGAAGTTTGTGAAGTTGTTGTTGTTGTACTTAAATTGCTAAATGTATATTTTATGGGATTAGAACTGTTAACAGAGTTGTTACAAAAACTGAAAGTTGTGTTTGGCACTGTGTAAGCTGAAGATGCTAAACACAAAAAAGAGAAAAAAAGGAATAATATTAATAATAATTTTGTAATTTGTAATATATAAAAAAGAAAATATGCTTAGTAAAAATTGTTAAAGAAAATATTTTGTTTAATATTATATTTTACTAGCTAATGTACCCAGTCAATTGCCTTAAAGAAAACATCAAACAAGTTTGAAAGCTATATAGGATTTTGTTAAACATTTCACATGATAGTTAATGATTATAAGAGCCTACATCAAACAATTGTTTCTGTTGTAGCATTAGGAATTTTGTCATTTTTATTTTGATCCACTTTTAATAAAATAAATATTGTTTCATTTACATATCTTTTATAAACTTGTTCCATTGAATTTTACAAATATATTCATGAAGGTTAAAAAAATCTCTCTCAAATGACAAAGAAAGTAATTAGTAGAGTAATTGGCAATAACAGAATTTAAAATAATATAGTTCAAGAGGTATTAATTATATTTTAAAGAAACATCAAAAGTAGATGGGAAATAATACAGTAAAAGCTCAATATTACAGACTGCTAATGTTGGTCTGGCCAAAAGTACATGAAAATTTTAAGAAAACTTATCTGCTTTAACGGACTCCATCTACTATGGACTATTTTTCAGGTCTTGCAGACCCTTCTGTTATAAATAAAACAATGACTGCAACAAAATAAAAAAAGTCACTGTTTTATTTTGTTGCAGTCATAGTTTTATTTATTCTGTCATAGTAATTGTTTTATTTACTTGAAAAAATAAATACAAAAATAATATAAAATTGATTTTTTAAAATGTTTTTGATGTAGATTTTCACATTACAGTTTCACATATAGATTTTGTTCAGTTTTGGTTTCGTTTTCTCTGGAGCAAACAGTCTTGAATTTATTGTGTAAAACAAAATTATGGATCACAAAAGAAAATGAAAAGCTTTAAATTTAACACAAAAAATACATATAATTCATCTGACTAAAGATGGAAAATCTCAAGTTGAAGTTGGTAAAGAAATGTCTCTGAATAAGCAGACAAATTCAGATATTCAGAAAGCAGGAGAAAAACAACAGGCTTGTTTTAAAACAATTCTTTAAAAATTTCAAAAAAAAAAACCAAACAACGAGGATGAACCTCTGTTGATGCTTGTCCTGTCGTACTTCATGAGGTTTTCATAAGCCCAAATGTGATTGTTATGATGATAATGTTATGGTAACTGAAGACACCAACACGTGTAAAACCAGCCTATCAGTGAATAGGGTAAATGCTAAGAAATGCATGAACATAGCACACTGCTGTAACATGCGTTGACAGAAAGTTCTTCTTGGCTGAAATTCTGCTGCATTTAATCCTTGCACCCGTTGAAGGTGATATGGGTATAGACGGGTTTCATGCAGAATTTTTCAGATGGTCATGTGCTAATGCCTTCCCTTCTCACAATTCTTCTTGTACTAGTTGATGGAGTTTCATCCACAGTACAAAGAACTCGTTCCTCAAGCACACAGCTTTGTACCTCTCATGGTCTCCGAATATCTGAAACTCTCCTCTCAATTGTGCCTGTCTCTTGCAAGTGGAATTTTGCAAATGTTTTCACACAAGGTAACATTTCTGCATAAAGATGACATGCTGCTATCACATTCCCATCCCATCTGCTCAGCCATATATGTAGTGAATATCTGTCATTTCACTCACCGAATACATTATCCATAATGTTATGGAAATTACTCTTAATAATAACACAAAAAATAAAAAAATGAAAGAATTAGAAGAAGAAAAAAAGAAAGACAATCAGACAAAACAAAACAAATGCCATGACCAACTGTAAAGAAGAAAGTTCATAAAAATGCAAGTTTAAAGTGATTTACATAATCAGAGGTTACTACAGGGAATTCCTTTCATAACTCCCTAACAAAGGATTTTCAAACCCATATTCATATAAACTTTTTGTAATGTTTTTGTGTCAGGAACACATCCTTACATTTATGGACACCAATTTAGTATATCCTGTATACAGTATAATCTTATATTTGTGGTAATAGATCTGCTGTAACAAGGTAAAAATACACTGATTTGGCATTTGGACCTGAAGACATCATCTGTGAACTGCAGATATTCTCTCCAGGTCTGTTATGGAGATCTGTTCTAACATTATTCTACTATACTTTTAAGTAGATTTTTTGATATAACAAATGACTCTGTAATAATGAGTAATCATTATAGAATGGACTTTTGTTATAGTGGACCAATTTCTTTGGTATCATGCTGGTCTGTTATGTCAAACTTTTACTATATTAATAAAATCCATTTTAAGTAAATACTTTCAAATTAATCATGCATCATTAGGTTTCATGTTTAAGAACTAAATTAAAATGATTAATTTGCTCAAATGGACTTTTATAATCATATGAAAAAATTTACGGGCTTTTGCAAATTTTTCTATAAAATATAATGGAACAGGTTCATAGGAAAGTATATAATTAAAAAGAAAGATAAATTTCCTGAAAACATTGAAAAAAAAGACAAAATTCAATAACATTGCCGATTCAAACACAAATGTTTCTACAATGGCTTTGTAGAGATGGAATAATACCACAAGCAAACAAACAATTTTTCTTTTATTTATAAGTTACAAAAAGTTAATATATATCTTCATCAATTGTATAGCAAATGCAAATAAAGTTGTAAAATTGATATAGTCATGTAACAGATAAATATGATTAAGTTGGGTGACTACAGCAACCATTCTGTACAACTACCATATCTAATAACTTCTTTTGCTAAACTTGTAAGATAACAAGAAAACTGCAAGCATTTTGTGAACAGGACAGCTATTATATTGAAATCATATGTGTGGCAATGTGTTCAAAGGAATACAGTAGAACCTCGTAAACTCGACCTAATGTGGACCGAAGGGTGGCCGAGTTTGTGAAAATGCCGGGTTATCGGGAATGGGGTTAAAAAAAAATAAGTACGAGTGTTTCCTCAGAAAATACTGTACTGTACTTGTATGTATTGTTTACTTGAGAATATAACAGAGAATAAACTGCCCAAATACCCTTAAACAAAGGAAAACTACATACTTTATGAAGGCTACGTACTTTACTACATGAAAATGAAAATTAATGAATACACTGTGTACAGTAATTTACCTGATAAGACAGACATCAGAAAAATACTTTATGAGAGCTTTTATACTTTTATAAAGCTGTCTATAATGAAAATTAATTAACTAAGGATTTTTTTGCCCTGTCAGGGTGTGGACGAGTTATCCGGAGTGCCGGGTTATCGAGGGCCGAGTTTTCGAGGTTCTACTGTATAACCTAACCAATCATTTACTGCAATCTCAACTGCTTTTCAGTTGCTGTCTTTGAGCTAGTTGCAGGAAATTTGTTTTTCTCTAGTGCAGGGGTCTTTAACCTTTTACACTTTTGGAAACCCTTTCAAGCTCATGGTTTTCTTGAAGGAACCTCATGTTTAAGTAGCAGATAAAATAGTTTATCAAAGCTTTTTTCTACTCAAATTCACAAAATTATTCTTGTATCTTTATTTAAGCTTAATACAAACATCTTAATAAAACAATGAATAGTGAGGTAGAAAATCAGGTTTTATTTTATTTATTTTCTAGAATACATTTTATGAATAATTAACAAAAGGAACAATATTTTAAAAGTGAAAGATATTGGACCTCACGCCGATCAATAGATAAGCAAGAAACGAGAAAATTATCATCCAGGCGTTAAACAATGTACAAGTATCGCTATAAACTACTAGCGCTTTTGACAAAACTATTATCGTCTTCTTCAAGCAGATGAAAACGGTTAATATCCTTTTATCGAATAACGATTTCGAACTACTCTAACGACAAAACAGCTTTGGAATAAAATTAAAAATGGAACTAAATACAGAGAACTTGAATAATACGCGTGTGGTGCCAATGTGCATGTGCAAAAATTTTTTACAAGAATATGGAGCTAGTGACAATATCTTAATTTGTTATATAAACTGACCCACAAAGAAGGCACATCCAGCGTGGGGGTGTTGCATGGATTTAGCACATCGGTAAGGAGTGCCTCCCATAGATACACGAGGCTCCTGTTACCACACTGTTTGAGCATCACCACTTGGTCCCACAACGGGGTGTATTGGTGTTGCAACACCATTCTTACTAGCTCGGTGGCACACTTGCCTGCCCTGATAGACTGCTGGTATTCAGAAATACAGCAAGACAACATTCTGGATGTCGCTCCGACATACTGGGTATGAGTACCAGACGTTGTATATTCCAAAGGGATAGAATAAACTCCAGACTTCTCTAGCACGGAAAAAGCATCCCTGTCATTGCATAATACCCTTCTAAGACAAAAATAGTTTCGTTGAAAGCGCTAGTAGTTTATAGCAATACTTGTACTTTGTTTAATGCCTGGATGATAATTTTCTCATTTCTTGCTTAACAATATTTTATATTATAACAAATTAATAAAAAGAAAATTCTTTTAATGATTTGACTGTGCTTGTTTTTTATCACAAAGCATTTTTATACCAGGAATAATTGTCAAAATCTGCANTTTATATTATAACAAATTAATAAAAAGAAAATTCTTTTAATGATTTGACTGTGCTTGTTTTTTATCACAAAGCATTTTTATACCAGGAATAATTGTCAAAATCTGCAACCTAATGTCATGTTCACCATCCAATCTATTCCTGTATTTTGTTTTTGTGGCAGCATACAAAGAGAAAGATTTTTCACATATATAGGTTGATACAAATGACATTAGATGTTTCATTAGATGTTTCACACATTAGATTGCCAGCTCTTTTGGCAATTTCAGGATATTCATTTCTAATGTCAATCCAAAAATGCATAACAACAATTTGATTAAATCTTACTTTCAATTGAGCGTTGGTTGATATTTCAATTTGTTGTTCTCTTTCTTTTATTGGGAGTTTGGAGGTGTCACAGTCTTGAAAAAGATTTTGAATCCAAGATAATTTTTTTTTTGAACAGGAAAATAT